AGGAGCACACAGACATTCAGAGGAAGCGCGATCCATGGGGAGCAGAGGTCTGACTGAGAATGGCGAGGCAGAGCCGGCTCTACCCATTTATTATATCACCCAGAGATCAGACTCTTAAAGCTCAAGAATCAAGGAATGGGACGGAATAAAATCAAAAGTCTTCTTCTCAGCAAAGGAAACCATCAATAAAGTGAAGAGACAGTCTACAGATAGGGAGAAAATATTTACTATCTGCACCTCAGAGCATTTATCTCCAGGATATATAAAGAACTCAAAAAACTTAACACACACACACACACACACACACAAATAACCCAATCAATATGTGGATACAAGAATTGAACAGACACTTCACAGAAGAAATACAATCGATCAACAAATATATGAAAAAATGTTCAACATTTCTATCAATTAGAGAAATGCAAACCAAAACTACTGTAAGATTTCATCTCACTCCAGTCAAAATAGCAATCATCAAGAATCCAAGCTACAGTAAAGGGGTTGGCAAGGATGTGGGAAAAAAGGTACACGCTTACATTGCTCGTGAGTGTTCAAATTGGCACAATCATTATGGAAAGCACTATGGAGATTCCTCAGAAAACGTGGAATGGAAACACCATTTGACCCAGTGTCCCACTCCTTGGTTTATACCCAAAGGACTTAAAATCAGCATACCACAGTGAGGCAGGCATATCAATGTTTATAGCAGTTCAATTCACAATAGCTAGACTATGGAACCAACATAGATGCCCTTCAACAGATGAATGAAATAAGGAAAATGTGATTATATATATATATATAAATGGATATATATATATAATAGATATATATATATATATATATATATATATATATATATATATATATATATAATGGATTATTACTCAGCCTTAAAGAAGAATAAAATCATGGCATTTGCTGGTAAGTGGTTGGAGCTGAAGAATACCATGCTAAGTGAAATTAGCCAAACCCCCCAAACCAAAGGCTGAATGTTTTCTCTAATATGAATGCTGCACAGCCTTAGCCATTTACAATGGGAGGGTGTGGGCTAGGGAAGAATAGAGGTACTTTGAAATAGGTAGAGGAGAGTGAAGGGAAGAGAGGGGGCACGGGAGTAGAAAGGATAGTAGAATAAATAGGACATTATTACCCAATGTCCATATGTGATTACCTGACTGGTGGGATACTGCATCAGGTACAACCAGAAGAATGAGAAGCTATATTCCCTCTATGTATGGTGTGTTAAAGTGCCATGTATAACTAACTACAACAGATAACATAAAAGGTTATTTGTGAGAAAGTTTCTGCGAAGCAGGCAGGCTTGAAGGTCACAGCATGGACGAGACATTGTGGTCATCTTGCTGTGCTCAGAAGCCTCCATCCCTAGGAGCCAGTGTCTGCAGTCAGAGCTGGTATCTCTGGGCGTTTGCACTTTTGCACAGTGGGAATCTCAGCACAAGTGTACCACAGCCATGAGGCCATCAGATGCCACGATCCACATCACTGCCTCCCACAGGGCTCCGTGTGCCAAGCACGGGCACGACCATTGCCCACTTGGAACTGTTAGTGGGCTGCTCTGAGCCCAGGCCAGGCCCCATGTGCCTGAGCCCACCAGATCCAACAGTGCCCCAGTGCTCCAGCCCGTGGCTGAGATGAGCACAGAGGAGTGGAGGGCCACCTTCTCTTTCCTGGCTTTGGGAGGCCGCTCAGCACGCTGGGTGCTGTGACGGGGAACAAGAGCTGCAGCCAGGACCCAGGTCGCTTTGTGCAGCGCACCCTCAGCTTGCACCTCGGGGCCAAGCGGCTGCGCTCCCAGGGCTGCCTGGGCCTGGGTCCTCCCACTAGACGGCCTCTTCCCCAGGCAGAGGGAGGGCCAGGCACATGGCTCTGCTCAGCCCCCGCACGTGGCAGCTCCACACACAGAAGGTGCTCAAGAGCGTCTCCAGCTGATGCTCTGTCCCCAGAGCTCGCCCAGGGGGCTCTTCTGGGCAGGCAGGTGGGGAGGTGTCAGGGAGGGGCAGAGTGGGCACTGTGGGACTCTAGTGTCCCTTTGCCTCTGCACCCAGGTGACCACTGGTGCAGACATTGCCTTAGAGCTGCTGCAGGCCCAGGAGGGATTCCTGCAGGCTGCTTGGGCCACAGCCACTCACCACGATGCTGCCCCCCGACCCCAAGCTTGGCCGCTGCTCCTGCCTGGGGAAGGCGATTCCACTCTTCACTGCCGCACCCTGGGAACTGGCCCTGCCTCTGCTTTCCTCTCTGGTTTGAGTCTGTGTTGCTTTCACCTGGACTGCCTCCTCCTTCTCCTACAGCGCAGTCCCTGCTCCAAGCCTGTGTGACCGTGGCACACTTTCAGATGCCACCTTGGGAGCTGGTCTTTGCAGGAACCAGGAGAGCCTGGGCAGGCCCTGGAGCACAGCCTTGCTGACGGCTGGCCCCACAGCAGGCTAACGAAGACAGGCAAGCAGGGACAGCAAGGCCAGCAGCCCTGTGCCCACTCCTGGACAGGCTGTCACCAGGCCAAGGTGTCTGAGAGCTCCAGGGCCTGCTGCAGAAGCCACAGCCTCCCAAAGGAGCTACCTTGCTTGGTCACCCTGGGAGGGCTCTGACGGCTCAGCTGCGATGGCCATGGCCTTTCAGCCTGTGCCCTGTTGCTGGAAGGGCCACCAACAAAATGTCCCCTGGCTTGGTCCTGTGGCCAGCAAATCCCTGTTGAAATACAGAAATCATTTTGGAGGAAAAACACTCAGACCTGCCCCTTGCCAAGGGTGTCTTGGACAACTTTCCCAGCTCCGAGGGCAGGAATGGGGGCCAGAGAGGACAGTCCTGGCCCTGCCCAAGCCTGTGCCTATACGGCCTGCTCCCCCGCTCCCCAAGGCTGAGACTTCCATGTCCCCCAGGAGCCTGGAGCAGTTCCTCTGGGCCTGTAAACACTGTGCGTGGAAGTCGGCTCCAACTGTCAGGACACAGGCACCTCGTTCTCTTCAAATGTGGACTATCTGGATTCCCACTCTGCCTTCGAGATGGGAACGGTCACAGACTGGGAGTTGTTGTGGAAGCACAATAGTTTTCTTGTTGGTCTGGAGCTGCAGGGAGCTGGGATGGACAGGCGAGGGCTAGAGGAAGGCTGTGCTCCCCTTGGGGAGCCTCCTGAATGTTCAGCTGTGGAACCGAGACACCTCCAGCCGGTTGATCCTCAGCTGCCAGTGGAGCCTAGTGGAGCTGGACTGGAGTTCCTGGGACAGACCCCATGTAAAGAGGAAGCAAACTGCGGGGGGCCTCTTCCCTGAGTTCTCTGATTACACACAGTACCACGCGATGGACACATTGTATACACAAATGAAGACATTTTCATTTTCATTTTAACGTTTTCTCTGACAAAGTACAAGTAAAAGTGTCCATGCTTTCCAAGTGTTCCAGGAAACTGGGGCTTCTTGGAGAATCATGGCAAATGTCCACCCTTCTGCAGGCAAGAGGCTTCCGCAGACACATGAGCTTCCTGCCAGGGCTGGGCTGCCCACTCCAGGATGAACAAGGGATCCGCACCAGTGCTCAGGGCGGGGCACCGGCTGAGTCTTGGGTGGCGGGTGTTCCCGGGTACCGCTTGACCCATGGTTACCTGTCGACCCCTGACCACCCTGTTCAGGAGCCAAGGAGACCCCAGGCACAGTCGGATGGCCCCTGACTAGATATGTGGTCTGGAGGGGGGGCTTTTCACCTGAACATGTGCTCTTTTGCCCACAAGGTGCACACATCCATTGCCACAGCCACGAGGGGCACTGTCCTTGCGGCCTCCTGCAACCCAGCCCACAGGACATGTCCACATGCTCCCCACCAAAGCTCCAGGTGCTTGGCCCCAAACTTGTGCTGACTGCTGCCCTCATTTGTGTAGCTGGTCAAGTGCTGTGCAGACCAGTGGAATCTGGGTCCTTACGGGAAGCAAATGGGCTTCTTCTGGAAGACTGGGGTCCAGTGACCAGGATGTGGCTGCCCATGTGCTGTGGGCTGGACCACTGTTGGAAGCCTGAGATTGCTGCCTCTGGTGAGGCTCATTTTGTAACAGCCTCATCTTTACCTGACCACACAGGACAGGCCTGATGTCCAAACAAGACCACACACACGGGTCCTAGGGTTAGGACAGCAGCAAGGGTTGGGGAACCCCCATTCTCCCGGTAACCCGGGCCGTGGGTCCCCCAGAAAGGAACCCAGGCCTGCTGCACCTTGACTCTGCCCTGCAGAAGTGTAAGATGACAAACTCGCAGTGCTCCTGTGGCACTGGGGAGGGGGCTTGTTCCACAGCCTCACCGTACCTGGCAGAGCATGGAGGCCGGCAAGGCCAGGGGAGGGTTCCGTACCTCTGTCCTCTGTGCTGGCCCAGCTCCATCCAAGTGGCCTTCTCCCCAAGGTTAGGGCCACTCCAGCACAGATGGGGCCTCTGGTAGGGCTGGGGCAGAATTGGCTCCAGGGGGCGTGAGGGACTAGGACCTCGGAGGCCATGCTAGAAGAAGGATCTCTGTGAGCTGCCTCCAACTGAGGCTGGCAGGATGCTCCCATTCCAGGGTTGAGCCCACAGGCACATACACCTGCTTGTGAGGCGCAAAGGGGGATGCGGGCAGGCTGGACCCTGGGGGAGGCCTGCGGAGCTCCTAAAGAGGCCTGTATGTCATTTACCACCCAGCCAATGGGCTCTGGGAAACAAATGCACACACTGATGATCAATCACCTCCCGATCAATTAGGAGCCCGGATGGAGGAGGGCAGGGTGCGGGCGGCAAGGACTGCCACAGGCCTGGCCGCCGGCTGCCTAATTAAGGGCAGGTGAAGGCATGCTGCGTGCGCTGGGCAAGTTGCCATTACTGAGGTCTCTGTGCTTGAGGGAGAGAATGTCCAGACTCAAATTAATGAGCAACCAGTCTTGGAGGAACCCTGCCCACCCCCTCTTCCCATTCCAGGCATTAACCTCTGACCACAGAGGACTGCTGGGGGTGTCCAATCCCAGCCCTTAGCAAGGCCGTGCAGGGCCTGGGCTCCCGCGCCTGCTGCCTCTGGCTATAGCTGGCCCTGGCCACTCACTGCTGCCGTGGAACAGGGTTCTCCTGGTGTGCCAGGACGTGAAGGCACCAGAGGTCTGCCCCAGAGGGGGCAGGTGAGCCCCCGTGTGGACACAGGCCCCTGTGGTCTGCCACCCTGCAGAGCTTGAGGTCATAGCCTCCTGCAGCTCCCTGCAGAGACCAGAGGCCGTCCAGTGCAGGAGGCTGCAACTGTTTCACCAGGTGGGGACAGGGGAAGGTGTGAGGACAGTGGAGGCCGGGGGCATGGTGAGTGGGCGGCCACAGGAGGTGCTTGGGTCCCGGCCTGTGGTTGCTGGCTCGGTGGCTCCTGGTACCAGGGGGGCTCAGAGCAGAGGCACCCGCCCTGGAACAGAGGCACTTGGGCTTTAGCACCAGGGCTTAACCTCGGGGAGAGTCAGGAGGGAGGGGCCTCCTGAGCTGCGCCAGGCGTGTTGGTGGGTCCACCCTTGGGCTGGGTGGGGTTCCTGTGGGTGGACCAGCAAGACGAGGCTGCGATGTGAGGGCCCAGCTGGTCCCAGAAGAGAGTACTGTGAGAGGTTCAGGCCTGCAGCCCTGGGGCTCTGGCATGGGTCTGAGAGCTTGTGGGAAAGGCCATGTTCTCAAGAACACGTTGGCCACAGGAGACGGAGCACCTGGTCTCCCAGCTCCTAGTCCCGACCTACACTACAAACACGTCACCTTACGTGGCCAAGGACCTGGCTATGTGATTGAGCCGAGGACCTTGAGTTGGGGTCTCCTGGACTACTGGTGGCCCTCCTCGTCCTCCCCCCCCAGGCACTGACCAGGTGGGTCCTGGGAGGGTGGGAGCAGTGAAAGACAAGGATAAAGGAAGGCCCTCATGCATTTTTTTAAAAAAAATTTTATTCTAATTTGTTATATATAACAGCAGAATGTATTAGGATTCATATTACATATGTAGAACACAATTTCCATCTCTCTGCTTGTATACAAAGTACATTCACACCACTTGTGTCTCTTTCATACATGTGCTTAGGGTAGTGAATGTCCATCTATTCCACCATCTTTATTTTACCCCCTTGACCCCTCCCCCTTCTTCCCCTTTGTCCTACCTACAGTTTGTCTATTCTTCCCATGCTCCCCTTCCCAACCCCACTAAGAATCAGGCTCCTTATATCAGAGAAAACTTTTGGCATTTGGTGTTTTGGGGATTGGCTAACTTCACTTAGCATTATCTTCTCCAACTCCATCCATTTATCTGCAAATGCCATGATTTTATTCTCTTTCATTGCTGAGTAATATTCCACTGTGTATATATGCTACATTTTCTTTATCCATTCATCCACTGAAGGGCATCTAGGTTGGTTTCACAGTTTAGCTATTGTGAATTGTACTGCAATAAACATTGATGTGGCTGTGTCCCTGTAGTATGCTGTTTTTAAGTCCTTTGGGTATGGACTGAGGAGAGGGATAGCTGGGTCAAATGGTGGTTCCATTCCCAATTTTCCAAGGAATCTCCTCCATACTGCTGTCCATATTGGCTACACCAATTTGTAGTCCCACCAGCAGTGTATGAGTGTGCCTTCTCACCCACATCCTCGCCAATACTTATTGTTGTTTGTCTTTATAATAGCTTCCATTCTGACTGGAGATGATATCTTAGAGTGGTTTTGATTTGCATTTCTCTAATTGCTAGAGATGATGAACATTTTTCATATATTTGTTGATTGAGAAGTGTCTGTTCAGGTCCTTGGCCCACTTGTTGATTGGGTTATTTTTTTAATTTAATTTTATTTTTTTTGTGTGCTTAGCTGTTTGAGTTCTTTATAAGCCCTAGAGATTAGTGCCCTATCTGATGTGTGAAGGGTAAAAATTTGCTCCCAAGATGTAGGCTCTCTATTCACCTCACAGATTGTTTCTTTTGCTTAGAACAAACTTTTTGGTTTGAGTCCATCCCATTTATTGATTCTTGATTTTAATTCTTGTGCTATAGGAGTCTTATTAAGGACATTGGGGCCTAATCCCACATGATAGAGATTAGGACCTACTTTTTCTTCTATTAGACGCAGGGTCTCTGGTTGTATTCCTAGGTCCTTGATCCATTTTGAGTTGAATTTTGTGCATGGTGAGAGATAGGGGTTTAATTTCATTTTGTTGAAGAGGCTATCTTTTCTCCAATGCATGTTTTTGTCTAATATAAGATAATTGTAGTTTTTGGGGTTAGTCTCTGTGTCCTCTATTCTGTACCCTTGGTCTTCCAGTCTGCTTTGGTGCCAATACCATGCTGTTTTAGTTACTATTGCTCTGTAGTATAGTTTAAGGTCTGGTATAGTGATGTAACCTACTTCACTCTTCCTGCTAAGGATTGCTTTAGATATTCTGGGTCTCTGGTTTTTTCCAGATGAATTTCATGATTGCTTTTTCTATTTCTATGAGGAATGTCATTGGGATTTTGATCAGAATAGCATTAAATGTGCATAGTGCTTTTGGAAGTATGGTCTTTTGATTATATTAATTCTGCCTATCCAAGAACAAGGGAGATCTTTCCATTTTCTAAGGTCTTCTTTGATTTCTTTCTTTAGGGTTCTGTAGTTTTCATTATATAGATCTTTCACCTCTTTCATTAAGTTGATTCCCAAGTATTTTTTTTTTTTGAGGCTATGGTAAATGGGGTAGTTTTCCTCATGTCCCTTTCTGAGGATTTGTCACTGATATACAGAAATGCATTCGATTAATGGGTGTTGATTTTATATCCTGCTACATTGCTGAATTCATTTACTAGTTCTAGAAGTTTTCTGATGGAACTTTTTGGGTCTTCTAGGTATAGAATCATATCATCAGCAAATAGTGCTAATTTGAGTTCTTCTTTTCCTATGTGTATCCCTTTAATTTCTTTAGTCTAATTGCTCTGGCCAGTGTTTCAAGAACTGTGTTAAATAGAAGTGGTGAAAGAGGGCATCCCTGTCTTGTTCCAGTTTGTAGAGGGAAGGCCTTCAATTTTTCTCCATTTAGAATGATGTTGGCCTGGGGCTTACCATAAATAGCCTTTATGATGCTGAGATATGTTCCTGTTATCCCTAATTTTTCTAGTGTTTTGAACATGAAGGGTGCTGTGTTTTCATATGATTCTTATCTTTAAGTCTATTGATGTGATGAATTACATTTATTGATTTCTGTATGTTGCACCAACCTTGTATCCCTGGGACAAATCCCACTTGATTGTGGTGCACTATCTTTTTGATACATTTTAAATTTGCCAGAATTTTATTGAGAATTTTTGCATCTAAAGTTCATTAGAGATATTGGTCTGAAGTTTTTTTTGTTGATGTGTTCTTGCCTGGTTTTGGAATCAGGGAGATATTGGCTTCATAGAATGAGTTTGGAAGTGCTGCCTCTTTTTCTATTTTTTGAACTAAATTGAAGCTTATTGGTATTAGTTCTTCTTTAAAGATCTTGTAGAACTCAGCTGTGTATTCATCTGGTCCTGGGCTTTTCTTGGTTGGTAGGCTTTTAGTGGCATCTTCTATTTTGTCACTTGAAATTGATCTGTTTAAATTGTGTATATCATCCTGATTCAGTTTGAGCAAATAATATGACTCTAGAATACCCTCAATATTTTCTATTTTATTAGAGTACAAATTTTCAAAATAATTTCTAATATCTTCTGTATTTCTGTAGTGTCTGTTGTGTTATTTCCTTTTCATCACATAGGTTAGTAATTTGGGTTTTCTCTCTCCTTCTCTTTGTTAGCATGGCTAAGGATTTATCAATTTTATTTGTGTTTTCAAAGAACCAATCTTTTTTTGTTGAGTTGTTAATGGACTTTATTTTACTTATTTATATATGGTGCTGAGAATCGAACCCAGTGCCTCACACATGCCAGGCAAATGCTCTACTACTGAGCCACAACCCCAGCCCAAGAACCAACTTTTTGTTTTGTCAATTGTTTCAATTTTATTGATTTCAGCTCTGATTTTAATTATTTCCTGTCTTCTACTGCTTTTGGTGCTGATTTGTTCTTTTTTTTCTCCTAGGGATTTGAGATGTAATGTTAGATCATTTATTTGTTGACTTTTCTTCTTTTAAGGAATGAACTTTGTGCAATGAACTTTCCTCTTAGTACTGCCTTCATAGTGTCCCAGAGATTTCTATACATTGTATCTGGGTTCTCATTCACCTCTAGAAATTTTTTAATCTCCTCCTTGATGTCTTTTGAAACCCCTTGTTCATTCAGTAGCATATTATTTAGTCTCTGGGTAATGGAGTAGCTTCTATTTTTTATTTTATTATTGATTTTTAATTTCATTCTAGTATCATCTGATAGAATGCAAGGTAGTATCTCTACTTTTTATATTTGCTAAGAGTTGCTTTGTGGCATGATATATATGGTCTATTTTAGATAAGGATCCATGTGCTGCTGAGAAGAAAGTGTATTCATTCATTGAAGGATGAAATATTCTATGTATGTCAGTTAAGTCTAAGTTATTGATTGTATTATTGAGTTCTATAGTTTCTTTGTTCAGGTTTTGTTTGAATGATCAATCCAGTGGTGAAAGAGGTGTGTTAAAGTCACCCAGAATTATTGTGTTGTGGTCTATTTGACTCTTGAACTTGAGAAGAGTTCGTTTGATGAACATAGACACTCCATTGTTTGGGACACATAAATTTATTATCGTTATGTCTTGTTGATGAATGGTTCCCTTAAGCAGTATGAAATATCCTTCTTTATACCTTTTGAGTAACTTTGGCTTGAAGTCTTCTTTATTTGATATGAGAATGGAAACCCCTGCTTGCTTCTGCAGCCCATGGGAGTGTTATGATTTTTCCCAACCTTTCACCTTCAGTCTGTGGATATCTTTTCCTATGAGATGAGTCTTTTGGAGGAGCATATTGTTGGGTCTTTTTTAAAAATTTAATATGCCAGTCTATGCCTTTTGATTGGTGAGTTTAGGCCATTAACATTCAGGGTTATTACTGAGACATGATTTGTGTTCCCAGCCTTTTTTGTTTGTTTTGGTATTTAACTTGACTTGGTTTCTCCTTTCATTAGTTTTTCCTTTAGTAGTTTTTATTTTTTATTTTATTATTTATTATCCCTCCCTCTGCTGATTTTCATTATTGTTCTTAATTTCCTCCTTAAGGAATATTTTCCAAGGATGTTCTGTAGTGCAGGCTTTTGAGTTGTAAGTTCTTTTAACTTTTATTATCATGGAAGGTTTTTATTTCATCATCAAATAAAAGCT